AAAAAAAAAAAAAAAAAAAGAAAGAAGAAAGAAATTAAATAAATAAATAAAAGAAAAGTAAAACGCACGATTTTCTTTGCCCTCAGGTGCCGGTCTCAGGCATCTGTTCAACCGTCTTGCTGCCCTGTTTCCCTAGTATTGGGGTCCCTGTCCCTTTAAGACTTCCTAAAAGCACTCGCCAAAAAAAAAGAGAGGAAAAAAAATGGCCGTTCCCGTTTCTTTGTTCTCTGGCATCAGCTTCAGGCACCTGCTCACCGGTCCTGCCGCCCTGTTTCCCTAGTATCCAGGACCCCACGCATGCATTGTGTCTGTGCTCTGGTCCGGATGGCTGGGGCTGGTTGTTCAGCAGTCCTGGGCTCCTTCTCCCTCCCTGCTGACTCCTCTCCTCCCGCCGGGAGCTGGGGGGAGGGGCGCTCAGGTCCTGCCGGGCCAGGGCTTGTATCTTACCCCTTTCGCGAGGCGCTGAGTTCTCGCAGTTGTGGATGTGGTCTGGATGTTGTCCTGTGTCCTCTGTTCTCTATTTTAGGAAGAGTTGTGTTTGTTATATTTTCATAGATATATGTGGTTTTGGGAGGAGATTTCTGCTGCTCTACTCATGCTGCCATCTTGGCTCCGCCCCCCTGATTTTTTAGAATCAGTTACACATAGTATTTTTTTGTCTCTTTACTGTTCCACACTATTGCTCATTTTTAATGTATCTTCTTTTTTTCCAATAGTACTTACCTATTTATTGGACTTTTCAAAGAACTAGCTTTTGATTTTTCTTGAAATAAAATGATTAGTACAGATACTAGTGATTAAGGAAACAAAATAACAAGACTGCCTTTATCCTCAGATAGGTATAAAGAGTTTAATTATACCAAGCACAGCAAGTGTTTGGGAAAATGGCTACTTTGATGGAATATAAATTATTAAAGCCATGAGGAGAGAAATTTTGTAATATCTATTAAAATGTAAATGCATTTACCCCTTCTCAAAGCAGAAAAATATGTACATGCATACACAAACACATAGAACAATATTTGCATTAAAATTTATAATAGCAAAATCTTGCAAGTAGTCTAAATATATCAATTAGGGTATTCCTTGATAAACAATGGCACACCCATATGCTGGTCAGTTATACAAGGTTAAAAGTTTACTTTGTAATGAGGTTAATCTTTATAGGTAGTTGTAAAAACACCACTATAATGTTGAATCATTAAAATTAAATTGTTATTATAACATGTAGGACATGATACCGTTTATAAAAATATACACATACCCACAAAACAACATTATATTTTTAATAGAAACATGTATACACACATAAATACATACATACAATATAAGTTTAAAAAAAAGCTCAGCAAGGAAAAATATATTCATGACCAGTTACCTCTGCGGATTGGGGACCAAGGCTAAGTGGTGGTCAAAAGATAATTTAGCTTTATGTTTGAATTAAATAGTAAAAATATATGATGTGTTATCTATATAATTAAAAATTTTTTAAATTGTTTTAACCAAAGTGCCTTATTAAAAGATGTCCAGAAATTGATAAAATTAATTACTGCCTGCCTAGATATCCAGTATCAGTAAATTGTATTTTGTACGTTGTAGAGAAATTTATATTGAATTATAAATTCTTTGGGAAATTTTTAAGAGTATAAGATGCTTCTTTTCCACAGGGAACAGGCAAATATTTTCTTAAGCCTTGTTAACTAATTCATGTCATGTAAACTACTCCTGTATTATACTCCTGTAACCCCAGAAGTCAAATATTGTCAAATTTAATGAAATAAATTAGCTTATTGGTATGTACAGTAAGGTCTAGTTTCCTTCCAGTGTACATTTTTCATAGTAAATAAGGTGAGAAAAATTACTCCAATATCAATTTTCCTTTCCTTTAGTGGAGGTTTTTTTGTTGTTTCTTCTTTTTTAAATTTTAAATAGAATTAGGAACAGGATTTTAAAACTGTGTACAGGGGAAATTGTGTACAGTTCTTAAATAGACTATAGTTCTTTTTCCATCATCTGTCTGAATTTACGTGATCACAGCAGAAAAAGATAAGATCAAATGGTTCTATTAAATTTTGCATTAACCTAGAATGACCTGGATACTGTGAGTAGCAAGGAAAGAATAATTAGTGGCTGCCACCCAGGAAGACTACTAACAATTTCTGTTGTGATTGCAAAAAATGAGAGATAAGCTATAATCAGTGTGGTCAGACAACACTGACTTTTTATACATTGTGCTTCTGATTCCCCTATTATAAATGTTATGGGTGAATGTAAGCCAGATAGCTGACTCCATCGACTGCTTTTCTCCATTAACAGCTTAGATCAGGGAGATCACTTGTTTTGCCACTGTGCCTTTATAACATAGCCAGAGATTTGTATGCATGTGAAGTGGGAGAAAACTACAGCATATTGTGAAGAAAGAATGGGAAACAAGCAGCCAGTTATTCCACACTTTCTGTCTTGAATGTTAATGCTTAAGCTGGCAGTTTTTCAACTTTTCCTGAAATGTAGCTTTACTTAAAGTTGTCTTTTTTGTTTTTCACCTTGAGTTAAGAGTTTGCCTTCATATACCTTCATGATTAAAATCTGGGAAATTATTTGTCCTTTTGTTTAGTGTAATACATTCTTTAGACTAAGAACATCATGGAAATAAAATGAAAATACTCTGAAATAACCAGAAGGGAACCTCACTGTTGTTAGAAGCAGTATTTTCTCCTCTTCCTTCCCTTCTGTTTTTGTTATATTGCTGAAAATTGCTGAGATTTGATCACTGGTCCAGTTCTCGCTGCTTTTACTAAAACTCAAACTCAAGTAGTTATTTACAACCATTTGTCAAAATGTAGCACCTCTAAAAGATACATAAGCTAAATATTTACATTTCTACATAGAGTTGATGCAAATGAGACTCTTTTTGGTACAGGTCTTAGAATTCTGCCCATTTCTATAAATGACTTGAAAACATCTCATTCTCTGCTACCATAGCTTACTTGTGATATTAAGTTCTAAAAAATGTTAGTGACTATTTCTCAAATTTATAGAAAGGAGTAATACCGGCAAAAAATATCCAAACTCTTAAGGATCATTTAGGCCTTGTGCTTAATTGGTATAATTTAGGTTTTTATTTATTTTGATAGATTCCAAAGAAATTGGATGATCATCCTGCTTCTCACCACTTAAAAAGCAGTCATTTACTTTTTGTTAGTGCTAAAAATGAATTTGTTCTCTTTCTTACAGCTGGTTTTCTCTTCCTAGGCTCTGAAACAGCAGCAGAAGCAGCAGGGCAGGCCGAGCATGGCCGTGCCCTCCAGCCAGCCCCTCTCTCTGAAGACCGTCAGAGCGGCCAGTGACTCTGTGCCTGCCAGACCCGGTAGGCCAATGAGTGTCTTTTCAGTGGAAGGTCCTTTTCCTGGTATTTTTGTGTTGGTTTTTCAAATTTGTGTATCATTTACTTTTAAATTACTACATTTTTATTTATACAAACCTTAATCATCAATATAGATTCTTCCAGGGTAAATGGGAAAATTTATGCACAATAATTTTGCAGTTATTCAAAAAACACACAGTGGGATATGCATGTTAAAATGAGATCTGTGACTAACTCCCAGGATATCTAGCCTAATATTTGGAAGCCTCTGGTCAGTAACCTTAAAGACAGATATTTTCAAGATGCTTAAACTGAACTCTTCATTAATTATCTTGTTTAAAAATAAAAAGGTTTTCCTAAGAATACATGCTGCCTTTGAGTTTCCACTGGACATATTCACAGGGCTTTTGGTTTTTTTGTTGTTGTTATTGCTTTGTTTTATATTTAAACAGTTCTAAATGCAGACTTTGTATTTTATTACACAATTCATTTTGATGCCAGCCGATTATATGGGCCTATCAGATTTAAGCTGTATCTTGCAGAACTTTGCATTTGTGTTAAGAAGGAAATTTCCCATCAGAAGCAAATAATGTGATAGGAGGAAGAAAGGGATTTTATTTTACTTTTTGGCTTTTAATTTTCAGACTGAAAATATATTTGCAGGGTTGTATTGGTTTGTAACTCCTTTTAGTTAGTGTTTGGTTTCTCTCTGTGTCACCCTCAGTGTCATCAGTCTTTTATATATTTTCTCTCCTAGCACTCTGGGAAGGAAAACAATCTGATGGACAGTCAAGCAGCCCTCAGAACTCAAACTCTAGCTTTTCTTCTTCAGTTAAAGTGGAAAGTCCTTTGCTAGGCTTGGGAAAGAAGTCATTCCAGAGGTCTGATAGGCTCCACACAAGTAAGTTAATTTACAAAGACTTCAGTTCCCATGCCTTAATTTGTCAAATCTGTGTTTGAAATTCAGCAGCTAAACTCAGCTTAGTTATTATTTCCTTTTCACCTATGAGCTCTTAACTATCTTTGTGTTCTTCCTGTCCTGCCCTTATCAAACATTATTTCAGAATAAGATCTGTTACCATTCTGTGTGGTTCATTTCTCTTTCTAACAATAGGTTGCTCTGTCTAGCATTATTTACGTTTTATTTCTAATTGTGTATAGAAAACTTTTTTCCTGCTCCCTCTGAAATTCCACTAAAATGCAAATATGGAAATACAAAAGATTAAGTCCATGAGGATAAAGAACGCAGAGACAACAGATGGGAAGGCTATGTCAACAAATTGTGAAAGATGAAAACTTGATGGAGTTTTTCACAGAGCTGAGGAGCCAGTAATAAGCCAGCTAAGGCTGCAGAACACTAGAAAAGTTCAAGAATTGAAAATATCGTGTATTATAGTAAAGAAAGATGTGATACAGTGTTGAAGAACGTTTTTTGAAAATTTAGAAGAAGCAGTTCGATGCCTCTCTTTAGCAGGAGAGAGGAGGTTTATTCTCAGGTGAAATTAAACCTACATTCCTAAAACTCAGATATATTACACACATAACTGAAGGCAGATAATGAGGTAGCATACTGAAATCAAGGAAATCAAGTAAGATAGAAATACTGAATAGTGATCCTCCTGCTTGGCTTCCAGAATGCTGGTAGTGAGACTTATTTGTAACATAACTTCCTCCTCCCCACCTGTGCTCTAGCAGGAGCCTGGTGGATTAGTAACTAAGGAAACTGAATAGCTTAAAAAACAATCTACAGGTGATGTTATTCATTCCCAACTACATAGAGAACGTCTTCACACTACTGTGGAGCTCGCTAGTGTACAAGACCCACCTAAGTACCCAAAATTCCAGTCAGCCTTTGTAATGCCTTTCCTTTAGTTATGATTACAAAGGATCATCCTGAAGAAAATCTCCCACCACGAGACACACAACCTAAAACAGACTGAGAATAAACAGGCAATTCAGGAAGGAGAAAATTTAAAATAAGAAACTTTAAAAACTAATGTACAACAGGAACAAATAGATGTTGCATCTATGAAAGAAAGAACACAATACTATTTTAAAAATCAGAAAATAAGCAGAGTTCCAGGGCATTAAATATGGTAGCAGAAATGAAACATTACGATAGAAATACTATGTTCCCAGAACATAACATAGGTCAAAGGAGAGAGAAGGCCAGGAAATTGGACCACCAATCAAGGCTGTCCAGTGTCTTAAATAGTAGAAATATCAGAGAGAAAGAACAGAAATTGAAAAGGGGGTAGAAGAAAACTTTGTGGAATTGAAAGCCACAGATTCCATACTGAAAGTACATAATTGGGGTCAAGAAACATAAAAAGAAGCCTATTCCAAGATACATTTCAAAATACCCAGGATAATAAGAAGATTCCCCAAAATCTTCACATACAAAGATTCAAGATTTGTGATGGCAAATTTCTCAGAAGCAACACAGAAGCTAAAAGATAGTGCAGCAGTGCTGACAAAATTCTAAGGGGAAGTTGTTCTGTACTCATGTATTACAGTCCTTGCCAAACTATTACAGGTGTGCAAATGAACAATATTTTCACACACTGCTTTATAAAAATCTGGTTTGGTCTAGGTGGGATTGTGGATTGGTACATTTTTCTTAAGATATCTTCCATAAACTGAATACACCCTTTTCATCAGTTGCACTGCAAAAGATTTAAAATATTCACTTATTAAACAGATGCTTGAAAGGTATACTAATAAACCAAGCATAGGTTTAGGGCCATAGAGATGTGGTAATGAACAGAATAAAGGACTTTCTTCATGGAGCCTATATTCTACTTAAACTCAGAGTGACAATTTTAGTACCTTCATTCAATTGCAGTAGAAATGTGGAATACAAAATTGAGAAATTATGGACTGAGAATTCCTAAGTTTCATACAAAACTAGGAAAAATGAACCAGAATAAAAGAAAGCATGGCATATTTAAATTGGATCTAATGGCTGAGAAGTAAGTGAATACTCATCCTTCATGCAAATAAGCAGTTAACTGAATAATATGGGAAATTTTATAACATATGCCATTATAAATATCAAAACTAAATGGAAGATCTGCATTTTGTGTAAAACATAAAAGATAAAGCCAAATTAGATAATTTTAAAAATATTTTATTGAAGTATCATTGATATACAGACTTATATTGTTTCAAATGTACAACATAGTGGTTCAACAGTTATATCATTTAATTGTCACCCCTACTAGTGCAGTTACTATCTGTCAACGTAGGAAGATGTTACAGAATCATTGACAGTGTTCTCCATGCTGTACTACTATCCCATGAACAACTTATATATGAATTAGAATTTCTGTGCCCCTTTATCTCCCTCATCTTCCCCCTGCCCCCACCCACTCTCCTCCCCCATGGTAACAGCTAGTCACTTCCCCCTGTTTATGAGTCTACTGCTGTTTAGTTCTGTTTTGCTTTGCTGTTACACTACACAAATGAGGGAAATCATTTGGTACTTGTCTTTCTCTGCCTGGCTTATTTTACCAGGCATAATACTTTCCAGCTCCATCCATGTTGCAAATGGTAGGATTTGTTTTCTTCTTATGGCTGAATAATATTCCATTGTGTATATGTACCACATCTTCTTTATCCATTCATCTACTGATGGACACTTAGGTTGCTTCCATTTCTTGGCTATTGTAAGTAGTGCTGCAATAAACATAGGGGTGCATATGTCTTTTTGAAACTAGGATCCTGCAGTCTTAGGGTAAATTCCTAGGAGTGGAATTCCTGGGTCAAATGGTATTCCTATTTTTAGTTTTTTGAGGAACCTCCATACTACTTTCAACAGTGGTTGAACTAGTTTACATTCCCACCAACAGTGTAGGACGGTTCCCCTTTCTCTGCATCCTTGCCAGCATTTGTTATTCCTAGTCTTTTCTATGTTGGCCATCCTAACTGGTGTGAGGTGATACCTCATTGTGGTTTTAATTTGCATTTCCCTGATGATTAGTGATGTGGAGCATCTTTTCATGTGCCTGTTGGCCATCTGAATTTCTTCTTTGGAGAAGTGTCTGTTCATATCCTCTGCCCATTTTTTAATAGGGTTATTTGTTTTTTGGGTGTTGAGGCGTGTGTGTTCTTTAAATATTTTGGATATTAACCCCTTGTCGGATATGTCATTTACAAATATATCCTCCCATCCTGTAGGAAGCCCTTTTGTTCTACTGATGGTGTCCTTTGCTGTACAGAAGCTTTTTAGCATGATGTAGTTCTGTTTGTTCATTTTTTATTTTGTTTCCCTTGCCCGAGGAGATGCATTTAGGAAAAAGTTGCTCATGTTTATATTTAAGAGATTTTTGCCTATGTTTTCTTCTTAGAGTTTTATGATTTCATGACTTACATTCAGGTCTTTGATCCATTCTGAGTTTACTTTTGTATATGGGGTTAGACAATAATCCAGTTTCATTCTCTTGCATGTGCTGTCCAGTTTTGCCAACACCAGTTGTTGAGGAGGCTGTCATTTCCCCATTGTATATCCATGGCTCCTTTATCATATATTAATTGACCATACGTATGTGCGTTTATATCTGGGCTCTCTAGTCTGTTCCATTGGTCTATGGGTCTGTTCTTGTGCCAGTACCAAATTGTCTTGATTACTGTGGCTTTGTAGTAGAGCTTGAAGTCAGAGAGTATAGTCCCCCTGTCCTTTATTCTTCCTTCTCAGGATTGCTTTGGCTATTCAGGGTCTTTTGCGGTGCAGCTGTTTTTTAAAGAAAGAGATTTGTAAGTGATAGTTTGGAAAGATGTTCAAGATATTCAGTGAAATAATAAACAAATTAATTTTAGTATGTATATTGTCATTTTATTTCTTCAAATTAAAAATGTTATTTTTGGTAGGAAGCCAGAGTTTGTGTAGAAACTTTTACTTTTCATTTTATATATATTGGTACTATTCCAAATTTGGAGGTGACATGTACCACTATCTCTGAACTACTATTTTTATTATCATTCAGTCTGAAAAATTTTTAATTTTTTATTGTGATTTCTCCTTTATGTCCCAGGAGTTACTTTGAAGTCTTTTTTTTTTTTCATATTCAAGTATATATGGATTTTTATGTTTTTATTATGAATTTCTAACTTAAAGACCTTGTGATCAGGGATCATACACTGTATGATAGTCATGCCTATATAGTGTAAACAATGGACTGTGAAGGAACAATGTCTCGGTTCAAATTTCTGCACTGTAGATTAAAATAGTATAATTTTGGGCAAGTTACTTAGCACATCTGGGCTTCACTTTCTTCATCTGTGCAGTGGGTTAACAGTTCCCCAACTCCATAGGGTTTTGTGAAAAATAGGCAATTTAATGCATGATAATATTTAGAATAGTGCTTGGTGCTTAGGAAGCCCTATGTAAGTGTTTCCTGCTGCAATTATTGATCATTGTTACTATTACTGCTAGTAGTATTTGAAATTTACTGAGACCTACATTTTTGGAATAATGGTAATGAATTTTTTAAGTGCACTCTGGTTTTTAAACACAGAATTCTGTGTTTATTGCATCAAGCTTATTAATATGAAAAACAATTCAGCCTTTTTTCTTCTTTTTTGAACTGCCTTTGGTATACTTGACTTATTAATAATTGAGAGGTGTATTGAAATCTGTTGTAATTGTGGCTTTGTCCAGTTCTCCCTGTTGTTCTGTCACTTTTTATTTCACACATTTTAAAGCTGTCTTATATTAGATGTTTTTTCCTGTTTAAAATCTTCCTTGGAGATTAAACTCTTCATCATTATTTATTTACCTAATCAGTCATTGATTAGGTTTGTTGCTTAAGTAAGTGCCTTTTGTTTGATATTAATAGAGGTACACCAGCTTTCCTATGGTTAGTTTTTGCTTGATGTATCCTTACTTTGTTAATTTCTGTGTCCCTGTGTTTTAGATATATCCCCTTACACAGGCTATAGCTAGCTTAATTTTCTCTATTTTTAATCCAGCAACTCTTTATTTGGTGAGATTTATCCATTTACATCAATTAAGGTGGTTAATCTATTTGGACTTTTTTCTACAGTCTTTTTTTTTTCCTTTGATTTTTGTCTTCTGTTTTTTTTTAGGGGCTTGGCTGAGCTTGTTTTTATGTTGTCCACTTTCATTCCCTTAATAGTCCTTTTTTCCTCTCTTCTTAGTTACGTATACATTCTATTTCTGTTGTTTTAGTGGTGATTCTTTAAATGCTACTGTGCATGTTTAATTCTTAAAGGTAACTTTTCACCTCCCAGTTTTACTGAGATACAATTTATATATAACATTGTATTTGTTTTAGGTGTATTATGTGATGATTTGATATATGTATGTATAGCAGTATGATTACCACAGTAAGTTTAATTAACATACATCATCTCACATAGCTCAGTTTTACTTCCCTTGTGATGAGAACTTTTAAGATCTACTTCTAGCAAAAAAAATAAAAAATCTTCTATTGATGGAAGTACATTATAACAGTAAATGGCTAAAGCATTGATCTACTCTATCTGGGCCTTAAACATTCTCTGACATTTTTGTTCTTTGTTTTTAATCTCACAAATCAGCATTAGAATGCTATTGTTTCATACACAGTGTTGATAATAGATTTATCTACATATTTACCATTCTCCATTGTATTTCAGCTCACCCTTCTGCAATCATTTCCCTTTTTGTTGTACAGTATTTTAAGAACTTATATTTAGAGGAAGTCTCTTGGCAGTAAATGCTCTCAACTTTTGTTTATCTCTATAAATGTTTTTTTTTTCTTGTTCATTCTTGAGGGAGAGTTTGGTATACAAATCATTATAGGTTGATTATTTTCTCTGAACATTTTATAGTTATTATCCATTTTGCTCTGAATTCCTTTGTTAAGAAGCTTGCTGTTGATTACAATATAAGTTGGTCACAGGGACAGTAGTACAGCACAGAGAATACAGTTAATGATTCTGTAACATCTTACTACGTTGATAGATGATGACCACATTAGAGGGGGTGAGGATTTAATAATATGGGTAACTGTTGAACCACTATATTGTATATTTGAAACCAACATAAGATTGTATATCAATGATACTTTAATAAAAGTAAAAATAACAGCAAAAAAGAAGCTTGCTGTTATTCTGTTATTCCTTTTTATGAATTCTTAATGGATGCTTTAAACATATTGTTTTGATCTTTGATAAACAGTCTTATTAAACTGGGTCTAAATGTGGGTTTCTTTTTATACTGTTTTGAATATGTTATGCTTCTAAATCTTTAGGTTGTGGTTTTCATCAGTTCTGGTAAATGTACTACTGTCAGTTCTTTTAATAGTGCCTTTTTTCCATTCTCTTAATATTGTACTTTTGGGTCTCCAATCAAGCATATATTAGAGACCTTCTTATCCTGTCCATTCATAGTATCTATCAAGCTTATTAATATGAAAAACAATTCAGCCTTTTTTCTTCTTTTTTGAACTGCCTTTGGTATACTTGACTTATTAATAATTGAGAGGTGTATTGAAATCTGTTGTAATTGTGGCTTTGTCCAGTTCTCCCTGTTGTTCTGTCACTTTTTATTTCACACATTTTAAAGCTGTCTTATATTAGATGTTTTTTCCTGTTTAAAATCTTCCTTGGAGATTAAACTCTTCATCATTATTTATTTACCTAATCAGTCATTGATTAGGTTTGTTGCTTAAGTAAGTGCCTTTTGTTTGATATTAATAGAGGTACACCAGCTTTCCTATGGTTAGTTTTTGCTTGATGTATCCTTACTTTGTTAATTTCTGTGTCCCTGTGTTTTAGATATATCCCCTTACACAGGCTATAGCTAGCTTAATTTTCTCTATTTTTAATCCAGCAACTCTTTATTTGGTGAGATTTATCCATTTACATCAATTAAGGTGGTTAATCTATTTGGACTTTTTTCTACAGTCTTTTTTTTTTCCTTTGATTTTTGTCTTCTGTTTTTTTTTAGGGGCTTGGCTGAGCTTGTTTTTATGTTGTCCACTTTCATTCCCTTAATAGTCCTTTTTTCCTCTCTTCTTAGTTACGTATACATTCTATTTCTGTTGTTTTAGTGGTGATTCTTTAAATGCTACTGTGCATGTTTAATTCTTAAAGGTAACTTTTCACCTCCCAGTTTTACTGAGATACAATTTATATATAACATTGTATTTGTTTTAGGTGTATTATGTGATGATTTGATATATGTATGTATAGCAGTATGATTACCACAGTAAGTTTAATTAACATACATCATCTCACATAGCTCAGTTTTACTTCCCTTGTGATGAGAACTTTTAAGATCTACTTCTAGCAAAAAAAATAAAAAATCTTCTATTGATGGAAGTACATTATAACAGTAAATGGCTAAAGCATTGATCTACTCTATCTGGGCCTTAAACATTCTCTGACATTTTTGTTCTTTGTTTTTAATCTCACAAATCAGCATTAGAATGCTATTGTTTCATACACAGTGTTGATAATAGATTTATCTACATATTTACCATTCTCCATTGTATTTCAGCTCACCCTTCTGCAATCATTTCCCTTTTTGTTGTACAGTATTTTAAGAACTTATATTTAGAGGAAGTCTCTTGGCAGTAAATGCTCTCAACTTTTGTTTATCTCTATAAATGTTTTTTTTTTCTTGTTCATTCTTGAGGGAGAGTTTGGTATACAAATCATTATAGGTTGATTATTTTCTCTGAACATTTTATAGTTATTATCCATTTTGCTCTGAATTCCTTTGTTAAGAAGCTTGCTGTTGATTACAATATAAGTTGGTCACAGGGACAGTAGTACAGCACAGAGAATACAGTTAATGATTCTGTAACATCTTACTACGTTGATAGATGATGACCACATTAGAGGGGGTGAGGATTTAATAATATGGGTAACTGTTGAACCACTATATTGTATATTTGAAACCAACATAAGATTGTATATCAATGATACTTTAATAAAAGTAAAAATAACAGCAAAAAAGAAGCTTGCTGTTATTCTGTTATTCCTTTTTATGAATTCTTAATGGATGCTTTAAACATATTGTTTTGATCTTTGATAAACAGTCTTATTAAACTGGGTCTAAATGTGGGTTTCTTTTTATACTGTTTTGAATATGTTATGCTTCTAAATCTTTAGGTTGTGGTTTTCATCAGTTCTGGTAAATGTACTACTGTCAGTTCTTTTAATAGTGCCTTTTTTCCATTCTCTTAATATTGTACTTTTGGGTCTCCAATCAAGCATATATTAGAGACCTTCTTATCCTGTCCATTCATAGTATCTGATTTTAGCAATTCTTATTCTACATTTGTAAATGCCCCATTAATTTTTTTTAGTCTCTATGTTCATTCCTGGTTATTTGATTCTCATCTTATCAATTATATTCTTTATTTCTTTAGTCATTTTATACTATATATATGTGACACTTTCAGTGATAGCAGTACTTATAGGGCTAAGCTTTTATTTCTGGTTTATGCTGACTCTGTCCTAGTTGTATACTTCTAGTTTGTCAGGATAATCTTTGGGAGTAGTGCTGGACTTTAATTTGTAGGACTCATATGAGCCTAACTGAAGGGAAACTTTTCCTCTTAAGAGAGTTCATGTTTGCTTGTGTATCAGCCAGAAGCCAGAGGTTATCCAGGATTATGTAGCTTTGTGCAAGTATTTCTAAGGGTAGAATTTCTGGGTCCTATATTCCTATGTACATTAAAATTTTTTTGCTGTGTATTCAGTTTTCTAATAAGATTATACTGATTTCAGCCCCACAAGCAGTATTTGAAAGTGGTTTTGCTTTTTCGCTGCATAATCCTATCACTGTTCAATATTTGTTTGCCATTTTAGACAAAAAAAAATTTTCATTGGTTTTAATGGCATTTCTTTAAATACTAAATACCTTAGCATCTGTCTATGGCTTATCAACTGTGAATTGCCTGATATTCCCTTTGCTCATTTTACTCTTGGTGGTATTTGTCTTTTTCATATTGATTTCTAGATGAACTTTTAATGTGAAGAATATAGTAACCTTTTCTGGCTTGCAATTTTTTTTCCTATGTTAGTCTTTTGTTTACATATATTTTTGCTATTTACATTTTAAACCTTTGTATACTTGATTCTGTCAGTCTCTTGAAAGACATAACCTCATTGTGAACAGGTTTCTTGAAAACTGCCAACTTACTCAAACATCACATTTCTACATAATGCAAAATAAAATTGGTGGAAAAAAATTCTCATAGGAAGGGAAGAAGTGCCTCAATCTGATTTTTATATAGACTTAAATTTTTCTTAACTCATTCTGTACATGTATCATTTATTAAAAACTTCCTCAGTCCCATTTGGAAAATAATCAAGTCTCAAATGCAAAATGTACTTTTAGTATGGCAAAAGATCTACTTTTTACAAAACTTTTTCTGTTTTTGCAGAGAGGAGAAATTATATTCTTTTATCCCATATGAATGAACAAAACTTGCTTTGTTAATATTAGAAGAAATTTCTAAGAACCTTAAATTGTTACCTTCTTCATAGTGTGATATTTAAATTACCGACAAGTGTGGGTTTTTTGCACTGCAGAGCAAACTATATTTTAGATAGAAACAGGAGTGTGAAGGAGGCACAAATGATTCTTCTCATTTTTGTAGGGCAAATGAAGAGGACTAAATGTGCTGAAATTGATGTTGAGACACCAGACTCCATTCTGGTCAATACAAATCTGCGAGCATTGATCAACAAACACACCTTTTCAGTCCTTCCTGGAGATTGCCAACAGCGACTGCTTTTACTACTTCCAGAGGTGGATCGACAGGTGTGTTATTTCCAGCATAAGCAGTGTTATAACCCTCTGAGGCTTGCTTTACTCATCCCCTTTAGAATTCTTTAAGACTTTTAAAGTAGCTTTGTATGTGTACCTGTAAAGAAGTGGTATCAAGGGTACTAAAGAAGAAATAAGATTATTTGTATGTTAAGTGCTTATTATAGATTTGCCCTGTAAGGCTTATAAAGGGAAAAAACTCTTTATCAGAATGTCAAGATTATGGAATAAAATTTGTCTAGCTATCATATTAGTATGTAAGCTTCCATTGAACACAGTTCAGGAGGAAGAGTTGTCTTGTTTAAGACATTAAACAGGGGTTTTTGAATGGGTTCTTTGAAGGGATTAAGAATGTTAAATATTTTCATTCTTCTGTTAAAATTTTCTAAAATATTTATTGCTTTTGTAATAACTTAAAAAACCCAATGTAAGTTATACTCTCTTTTTTAAAAAGAAACACCAGAGGTTTGGGAATAGTCTAGGTAGGGATCAGCAAGTCACTCCCCCTTCTGATCTTCTGTTTCCTTCTCTGCAAAAGTAAGGTAGGACCAGCATGATTTTCAAGGTTTATTTAATTCTGAGATTTTTCTTAATTCATGATTTCCAAACACCTCTGCCTTCTAAGTAATCTGAGAGCCCACTCCTCTTTTTTGCTAATCATAAAAACAAGATGAGAGAGGTGTTTTCCCTAGTTTATAGTGAGAGATTAATGGAAAATAAGTTAACTATACAAATCATCATAGTTAATTGACTATAAAGTCAAAACTAAATCTAATTCTGAAAATCATCTTTCTACTAGACCATACTGATATCAGTTCCATAGTGCTGTGAATCAGCAAATGTGAAAGCAGGTCAGATTCCATTTCCAGGGAATCCAGTAAGTCAGGGACACTGCCAGCAGTAGGAACAAGGAAGTAAAGCTGATCCTTCCCAGCAACTACTTTTCCCACCTTGCCTCTTGGAGAAATCGTAACTTTGGGGATGCCCAGTTTTTGGTTAGAATGTTAGAAGACTGATACTTCAGCGGAGTTTTTAGAGTATTCTTGTTGGGGATTGCTCTTATCTCATTTAAAGACTCAGGTTATTAGGTTGGGAATAATAATACAGGACCTAACTGAGGGCCTCTCTGTAGAACTCTTGTGCAGGTGTCTTAGAACTTTCTTGACTAATGGCCCTTATCCTCTCTCAGGAGGATTGCCACATGTGATTTTAGAATTAAAGGGGCTATCTATTTGACTTCCCATACAGTTCAGTCATGTGGAGTATTCTTTTTGTTGTTGTTGTTATCATTAATCTACAATTACATGAAGAACATTATGTTTACTAGACTCCCCCCATCACCAGGTCCCCCACACCCCCCATATTACAGTCATTGTCCATCAGGTAGGAAGATGCTGTAGAATCACTACTTGTCTTCACTGTGTTGCACAGCCCTCCCCATGCACCCCCCCCATATTATACATGCTAATTGTAATGCCCCCTTTCTTTTTCCCCACCCTTATCCCTCCCTTCCCACCCATCCTCCCTAGTNAGTTCCTCTGCCCATTTTTTAATTGGGTTATTTGTTTTTTGTTTGTTGAGGCGTGTGAGCTCTTTATATATTCTGGACGTCAAGCCTTTATCGGATCTGTCATTTTCAAATATATTCTCCCATACTGTAGGGTTCCTTTTTGTTCTATTGATGGTGTCTTTCGCTGTACAGAAGCTTTTCAGCTTAATGTAGTCCCACTTGCTCATTTTTGCTGTTGTTTTCCTTGCCCGGGGAGATATGTTCAAGAAGAGATCACTCATGTTTATGTCTAAGAGGTTTTTGCCTATGTTTTTTTCCAAGAGTTTAATGGTTTCATGACTTACATTCAGGTCTTTGATCCATTTTGAGTTTACCTTTGTATATGGGGTTAGACAATGGTCCAGTTTCATTCTCCTACATGTAGCTGTCCAGTTTTGCCAGCACCATCTGTTGAAGAGACTGTCATTTTGCCATTGTATGTCCATGGCTCCTTTATCAAATATTAATTGACCATATATGTTTGGGTTAATGTCTGGAGTCTCTATTCTGTTCCATTGGTCTGTGGCTCTGTTCTTGTGCCAGTACCAAATTGTCTTGATTACTATGGCTTTGTAGTAGAGCTTGAAGTTGGGGAGTGAGATCCCCCGCCCACTTTATTCTTCCTTCTCAGGATTGCTTTGGCTATTCGGAGTCATTGGTGTTTCCATATGAATTTTTGAATTACTTGTTCCAGTTCATTGAAGAATGTTGTTGGTAATTTGATAGGGATTGCATCAAATCTATATATTGCTTTGGGCAGGATGGCCAGTTTGACAATATTAATTCTTCCTAGCCATGAGCATGGGATGAGTTTCCATTTGTTAGTGTCCTCTTTAATTTCTCTTAAGAGTGTCTTATAGTTTTCAGGGTATAGGTGTTTCACTTCCTTGGTTAGGTTTATTCCTAGGTATTTTATTCTTTTTGATGCAATTGTGAATGCAACTGTTTTCCTGATTTCTCTTTCTAGTAGTTCATTGTTAGTGTATAGGAAAGCCACAGATTTCTGTGTGTTAATTTTGTATCCTACAACTTTGCTGTATTCTGATATCAGTTCTGGTAGTTTTGGAGTGGAGTCTTTGTGTGGAATATTCTTAATAAGGAGGTTGGTTGGCCTGTCTTTGTCAGTTATTATGGTGGAAGCACACAGTAATCTGAGTAAGACTGGCCTAAAAAATGTATGGAGTTCCAATAAAGTGAAATAAAACTTCACTGTCAGATGAAATTTGGCTTGTAAAGAATTCTGGTTATTGCTAGGGTTATATGTTGTCAACCACATTTCACTGTATGATGTGCCCAGCAATGGACAGTAGAAAAACATTTAGACCAGAGAAAAGAATAAGGGAGGGGAGTGAATTAAAACACCTCTCTTCAGATATATTTGAAGGTCTGTCTTATGGAAAAAGTAAACTGTGTTTCTCTAAAAAGCATTTCTGGGGTTAAAATAACATTTTTTAAAAACAGCTGTTAAACTGTAGAATGGATTGACTTGTGTTGGAGTAACTTGCTCATTATTGGACTATTCAGGCAGAGGTTGGATGACCTGTTCTCCTCACAGGGAAGCCTGTTACCTCTCTGTAAACTCTCCGGAATATGAATCAATAGTCAGCCAATTGTAGCCTGTGGGCCAATTTCAGCCCACTGCCTTGTTTCTGTAAATAGAGTTTTATTGGTACACAGCCATTCCCATTAGTCTACATATCATCTATAGCTGCTTTGTCCTAAAATGGCAGAGTTAAGTAGTTCCAACAGAGGCCAAAGTCTAAAATATTTTCACTCTACTCTTAACAGAAAAAGTTTGCCAATTTCTGCTTTTGAGCTAGAGACAAATAATGTTGGCCTAGGTAGGTTTAGAAAGTAAAGTGGATTGAGAAGTGTTCTCAATACCTAAGATATCCAAATAGTTACCTAATTTTTCTTCAAAAAACTGTTTTTGACTTAAAACTTATATTTATGTTTTAATCCATCTAAAAAGTTTTTTTTGTATTGCTCTGAAATTGGGGTTCATCTTTATTTTCTACTGACTGTTCATCCCAGCACTACATATTTATATAACCATTTTTCCTCCAATTTGAAATCCCATCATTGTTACATATTCTATTCATTTCTGTGCAGCATGTGTTTATAGGTGCTCTCTCCTCTTCCGGTTATTTCTTTGTGCACTCTAATGCCTGTGATAAAAGTTTTGATTGCAGTGGCTTTGTATGTAGTATATTTAAGAATTGGAAAGGCAGTTGCCCCCTCTTGCTTTTTTTTTTCCATAGAACATTAAGGTCATTATATTAATAAAAAATCTGCAGAGGAATCTTATAGAAATGTAGATACTAACTTTGAGGAGAATGGCAATTTTATTAAGGTCTTCCATCCAAGTTTTTTTAGATGTTGTATTTTATGCCCTTTACTAAGATTTTATGGTTTTAAACCAAGATAGGAAATCCAAAATCTCTAATACAAGGAAAAATCTTAAAAACTTTTGGCAGGACATCACAAATCAAGTCAGTAGACAGATTGGGGGAAGTATTTTTAACATCTGTGACAGTTTTGTTATGAATAATAATATAAAGGCTTCTTGCAAATTGATAATAAAAATAAGTAGCCTTGTAGAAAAATGAGCAAATTATAGGAATTGGCATTCACAAGATTGCAAAACTAAATATTCAACAAACATACAAAAGCTGTACTGAACTCAAATAGTCAGGAGAAAAGAAATTTTTACCATTTCAACCTTTCTAGAGTAGCAAAAATTAAATAGCCTGTTAACATCTACAGTTTGCAGGGTATAGAGTATGCTCTTATATTTCTAGTAGAAATGTGAATTGCTTAAGCCTTTTTGGAAAATTATAATAGTTACACACACAAATATTTCTCTGCTCTCAGAACATACCCCATAGAAATAAAAGCACTAGTATTTTAACTTTCACCAGAATGCTTATTGCAGCTTGGTTGATTATGGGAAAACAGTGAAAACAGAGCATATGTTTTTGGTTAGGAAATTAATAAATGAATTGAAGAGTATTCATACAATGAAATAAGATGCAGCTATTATAAAGGAGCTAATATTATGCCAGTTAATTTGGAGAGACTTCCATAGTATGTTATATGAGAAAAGTAAGATTCAAAGCAGTGTATATAACTTGGTGACAGTTCTACAAAACAAATAATAAATCACTCAGGGGAAAAAGAACCTCTCACATATGTATTTATTTGTTAGCAAATGATTCTTTGAGTATCATTAGTCAATGGGAAATGAGATTGAAAGGAGAGGAATAAGGGAGGGGAGATAAACAGGAAGGAAAGTTTTTAGAAAAAAATGATAACTACATTATAAAATAGAAGTGTTCATAATAATCAGCAATGGTATGAAAAGAATTGTGTTTCTGTAAAATTAAATGTGCATACATTCTTTTCTAATTGGCATTCACAAGATTGCAAAACTAAATATTCAACAAACATACAAAAGCTGTACTGAACTCAAATAGTCAGGAGAAAAGAAATTTTTACCATTTCAACCTTTCTAGAGTAGCAAAAATTAAATAGCCTGTTAACATCTACAGTTTGCAGGGTATAGAGTATGCTCTTATATTTCTAGTAGAAATGTGAATTGCTTAAGCCTTTTTGGAAAATTATAATAGTTACACACACAAATATTTCTCTGCTCTCAGAACATACCCCATAGAAATAAAAGCACTAGTATTTTAACTTTCACCAGAATGCTTATTGCAGCTTGGTTGATTATGGGAAAACAGTGAAAACAGAGCATATGTTTTTGGTTAGGAAATTAATAAATGAATTGAAGAGTATTCATACAATGAAATAAGATGCAGCTATTATAAAGGAGCTAATATTATGCCAGTTAATTTGGAGAGACTTCCATAGTATGTTATATGAGAAAAGTAAGATTCAAAGCAGTGTATATAACTTGGTGACAGTTCTACAAAACAAATAATAAATCACTCAGGGGAAAAAGAACCTCTCACATATGTATTTATTTGTTAGCAAATGATTCTTTGAGTATCATTAGTCAATGGGAAATGAGATTGAAAGGAGAGGAATAAGGGAGGGGAGATAAACAGGAAGGAAAGTTTTTAGAAAAAAATGATAACTACATTATAAAATAGAAGTGTTCATAATAATCAGCAATGGTATGAAAAGAATTGTGTTTCTGTAAAATTAAATGTGCATACATTCTTTTCTGAAAAGAAAGGACAAATTCCACATGATACATTTGTCTTTCTTTGTATGCTTTCCTTGGCTTATTCTTTGACCCAGGTTGGTCCAGATGGTCTGATGAAGTTAAATGGCTCAGCCCTTAACAATGAGTTCTTCACTTCAGCAGCCCAAGGCTGGAAGGAAAGACTCTCAGAAGGTAAGTGTTCTTCCTTGGGTGTCTCCTAAGATATGTATGTACTTGGAGCCACTATGAGGGCATAGTGGCACCTCTGCACCTGAGTGACCATTTGAGCGATTTTGGAAGGCAAAGAAAGGACAGGATGGCTCCATAGGGAAGAACTAGCTGTTCTTTCAAAATACATTGCTAGACTTCTATCTGGAGCCTGTATAGCCAGGTTTGGCCACAGATCCATCTTTAAGGATTTAAGGACTTTAAGGATTTAAAGTCACCTGGTTAATTATAAGCACAGGTTTTTAGGTCCTGTTCCTAAAGAGTCTGATTCAGTAATTGTAGGTTAATGCTTAGGAATCAAAATTTTAATAAACTCCTGAAAAGCAGAGTGTAGAAATATTTTATGGTGTTATAATTGTGGTTTGGCAAGCAGTGAGATAACCTCTTTGTTACTGCCCAACCTCAGTGAAACTAACAGTAGAGAGAGTCAATAACAACTATTTGTAAAGCAACCTTTATTGAGAAATGTTTCACATACTATAAAGTTCGCCTGTTTGAAGTACACAGTTCAGTGGCAGTCAGAATGTTTGAACAAGTATGGATCCTGGCTGAAAGTGACCGCCTGTGGCCACTCGTTTACTGTGTTGATAATTTTGACCTAACAAACTTACTGAGGGTGAATTTTGAAGTACGAAGAAGTGGTTGATGATTGCATTTGCACAGCATGTAGTGGCAGTCACTGTTTGCAGCTTTTAACCCTGACTGCTCGTTCTAGTCACCCATGGTGTTTTTAAAACTACTGGTGTCCAGGCCTCACACTCAGTAATTCGTTTTAATCATTGTAGGATGGTGCCTGTGGGGTTCTGTATTTGTTTTTTTTAATCTCCCCAAGTGATTCTACTAGGTAGCCATTATTGAAACCAGTGGCTGTATTTTATTTAAAATATTGTTTATTCTTTCGTACACATGGAGTACAGACTAACATTTGAAAAGTTATACCAAGTTAAGCCAAGGAATAGCTTAAAACAAGTATGAGGAGCTTTAAAATAAATGTATCTATAAGGAGAGCATTAGGAATGCTGTTCATTGCTTAATTTGTGTCAGATCTCTGACAATGAGAATTGATTGATCAGCTAATTAATATCTGTATTGTTCATTACAATTGTTGACTCTTCCCTTCCTATTTTCTTTTTAGGGCACATTCTGTGTAGAAGAGATTTTTTGTTGATTATCTTGGTCCTTTTTCTTTCTTAAAGATTTTTTTGTGCAGAAACCCCTTTTTTCTAAAAGAATTGAAATCCCATAAGCACTTTAAAACATACCCATTACCAGTACCTATCTTTAAGAATAATTTACTAAAAGAATATGTCTTCCAGTTTTTTAAAGTAGGTGTTATATTATACCTTAACTGTAATCAGAGGTTTCTTTGCGTCTGAGCAGTCACTGTGATTGTATATTATGAGCAGCAAAAACAACAGTGTACACGTGTGAACAGAGTTCAGTATTTTTTATTCCTAATTCTATCATGTACAGTAGACTCAACAAAAGAGCAGAAGTTCTGGGTTGGATTCTGACAGCCAGATCCCTCTTTTCCTCCTCATATGCCCAGGACTGTGATATCCATTATCCTATAACATTTTCAATTCCCTCTTCTTACTACCAGGTCTTAAACTTCAAGTATGCCATTTCTGTCTCTTATTCTCTGATGTCCTGGGTATTAGAGTATAAAAGGGAACAGCCTTTCTGAGCCACTAGTTTGAAGGTGGCCTTCCATCTACATTCAGTGTTCTCTGCTGATTGAGTGGGATTGAGGTGGTTGGTAGTATATGCAAATAAATGGCATATTCAGGGCAGCCAGGTATTTGGCATATTAAGTGTCTTGTTGGTAGGGCACTAGACTGGTACAATTTCTGGAACAATTAGAACTAAACTGACAGCTTCAGATTCACTGCCTACCTTTTTACTAGAGACTCAAATGCCTTTAAGTGGTGCCTCAGCTATTCATTATGCACTTAGATATGAAAGCACTAAAATACAACTTGCCTTGGAAAAACAGAACTTTAAAATAATAAAATGTCCAGTGGCATTATTTACTGAAAGCACATAACTATTTCTTCACTGAAAAAGAAATGACAAATTCAAGGTTAGTGTTAAAAAAATCTATAGGGAATATGATATTTGGAGCAGGAGGGAGGTACTACAAGGAAAGCCCAGAGAAAAGGCCCAGTTGACCAAAGTACTCAGTTGAGTACTCAAAATACATGGAGGGGTGTGCAAGTATTTTTATCTCATCTAGTGGTACTTAGATACTCCCTTACTGTGAGGAACTTTGGGAAATTTCTGTTGACTTCACATGATAGTATTCTGACTCATGTTGTCAGTCTTCCATGATTTACAAATAGTTGAAAATTGCAAACACTGTATTTCTATTGAGTATCTTTTTTCTTTTTTTCCTTTTTGTACATTACAGGTGAGTTTACACCTGAGATGCAGGTGAGAATTCGACAAGAGATTGAGAAGGAGAAAAAAGTAGAACCATGGAAAGAACAATTCTTTGAAAGCTACTATGGTCAGAGGTAATATCAAGACAGGTTCTGTAAACCAGATGTTAATTCCAACGTACATGTTATATGGTGCTTTATCTTGTTACCTTTCCAGAGAATATAGTCTTCAACTTCCTTCTATTTTTTTTCACCAGTTTTTCTTTATGAAGAAATTTTTTTCTTGTTATGAATCTCAAGTGCACAGAATTCATAATCCTTGACTCAACACATTACCACTGTGGGTGGGATGATTTCTTTTAAAAAAGAAGAAAAATATTTTATAATCTTGAATTAGAGTCCCTTTCTTTGAATAGATTGGCTTTTCTTTCAGTAACTTCGTAAGGACACTGATGTTCTATACATTTTTTATAGTAGTTAATTATCCCACGATCTCTATCTTACCCAGAATCACTAAGGAATGCTGTAGTATGGACCATTATATCCAAATGTGTAATTAAATAACCTTGCCTCTCTAGAAGGCACTCTGGGTGGTATGAATAGCTGAATCAAGATACAAACCCTGTTCTCAATGGGCTGTAGTCTAAATCAGTTTTTAACAAGAAATGATATCTTAATGGGGACATTTAAATAGATGACAGTTGAGCTGTGTTTGAAGCCTTGTTAGTGTCCCTTCTTTTCTTCTACATATCTAATGGCTGCTCTTAAAGAGACTCCATACCACAGCTTGAGACCTAATGGCCTTTTGCCTTATCTCCAAGTAGTGTTCATCAATCCCCTTCATGGTCATTTAGGAAGTGATTTCTATTAAGATTAAGAGTCTCATAACACTGACTTTCTACATTCTTGGTATGAACTTTTCTCTGTAGAAGTAATGGTGTATACATTTAGACATAAGTAGCAGTTATCCTATAAATATTGTTCATTTCCTTCTTATTAGGCAGATAGAGCATTACAGCAATTCATAGGCCTTTCTGTTTTCAGCTGTTATTTTTTGTCAGCTTTGAAAGAAGGGACTCTGACTACTGTGCAGTTGTGTCCTCAGTCATTCCATTTCAGAGGTACAGCTCTCATTATTTGAAGTCAGCAAAGAGGGCTACTTTGTTTTTGCCTGTTAGTCAATATTCTAAAATATTCGGAGGAGTCTCTATAGTTACCCCTGCAGAGTAGCCTTGCTCTTAGCCAGGCCACACTGTGCAAGTCCCAGTTGACCTTCATTCCCAGGATCACTCAGAATTTTAATTTTAATCCTCAATCTTAGAATTTTAGAGCTATACCAAGTGAAATTTAAGCAGACGTTTCCAAAAACTCAATTAAAATTCTCAACCTCTGGAGAACATGGACATCCAACTCCCCTACTGTCTCTTCAGGTTTCTTTTGGTTTCCTAGGCTAGCCTTCCTACGAGTACTACAGAGCAGAGTTGGTCAGAGTTCAAACCCACAGTCTCAGGGTGCATGGGTTTTGGCCTTCTGTCATTTTCCTTGTGGGTAGTGTGTGATGCATGCCTCTGGTCAGTGTAGCCCCTTTGTAAGCAGAAGTAATAATAGTTGCTAACATTATTGAGCTTTTTTTTATTATATACTAGATACTGTTCTAAGTATTTTATGTGTGTTAACTTAGTTAATCATCCATAGCAATACTCTGAGGGGACTATAGTGTACAGTGGAAGAAACTTAGGTACAGAAGGCTAGTCAGTATCAGAGCCAGGATTTGAATCCAGCTTCTGGCTCCAGAACCTTCAGCATCATCACCACCATCTGCTGCTACTACTAACAGTGATGATAATATATGAAGAATACCTACTATGTTTCAGGGGTCCTTCTAGGCATTGCCATGTGCCATTATCTCATAATGCCTTCAATAACATGGGCTATTTCTTTCTTACACCTTTTAGTTCTGGCCTGAGCCTTGAGGATTCAAAGAAATTGACAGCGTCACCCAGTGATCCCAAAGTAAAGAAAACCCTGGCTGAACAACCAAAATCCATGCTTCCTTCCGAGGCCTCTCCTGTCAGTATAGTCCCAGTAATTCCCCAATTAGAGTCTAAAGAAGTCATGCAAATGTCATCACCAGTCAGAAAAGAAGAGCACGAAAGCCAAGACAAGGTGCAGCCAAACTCCAAATCCACTGAGCCCCTACTTTGCTCTTCTAGCAGTACAAATGAGCTTAGCAGTGTTTTCCCCACCAAGTGCCCAAAGGATGAGGACCGCTTGGAGCAGAAGCCAGTTGCCTCTGCTGAACAGGAGTCTGAGAAAGAGAATCATCTCACTGCAACTTCTAATTATATCAAAAATGAAAGCCAAGAAGCTTTAGTTACATCCCCAAGCAAACCCAAGAGTCCTGGGGTGGAAAAACCAATAGTGAAGCCCATGGAAGCAAGTCCACAGGAGCCCGCTGTGAAAGAGCCTTCATCAGCTCTGGCTGATCACAGCCCAGAGAGTCTCAAGAGGAAATCTTCTCTCATCCAAGAAGAGGCCCCTCTGAGCTGGGAGAAAAGGCCACGTGTCACTGAGAATCGCCAGCACCAGCAGCCATTTCAAATCTCGCCACAGCCCTTTCTCAATAGAGGGGACAGGATCCAGGTGCGAAAAGTACCTCCTCTCAAGGTAAGAGACTGGGAAGAAGTGAAAAAGAGAGAGAATTTGAACAATAAGGTAACAGTCATACCTACTAAATTTTCAGTAATTTGTGGTATTTCTTAATGCAGAAGCAGTTGTATTTATTTGACATGCATGTAATTTTGGTCTTATATGAATAAAAGTATTACCAAACAGGAATTTAGGACTACATTCCTACAGGTCTTCATTGGTGTTTGAAGAAGTAAGGTGCGTGGATGTCTAATGTAAACCACCTCCCCTAACCCCTGCTGGCTACTCTTGTATCTTGAGGCAGTTAACAGAAATTATTCCATCTCATATGACAAAATACGAAGTATGATAATAACTGTCAGGAGGCCTTTGGTGTGATCAAGAGGTCAAATCTCTGTAACAAGAGTTCTGCTGTTAAAGTGTACCTTGGCCCTTTGCTTCTGCCATAACCAGTTTGATGTTCTGTGGATCTAGAACTGCCTTTGGTTCTATCCTCACAAAGGAAATGTGTGTGGCTGCCATGAGTCACCACTGGTTACTGAGGGGTGTTAGTAGATGGAATAGCCTTGTTAAGCTCTGCTGCTTAGGAGTGTCATTAACTTTCATTTTACCCTTATATTGCTTCTTCTCAAATCTACCGAATTCCTACAGCAGTGTTTCTCTCTTAGTCCATACAGACAGCATCTAACCAGTAGGGAGCCCTTTAAAACCCAAACACATCTTTACTTCTTATCTAAAGGTTTATTAAGGTATTCAGTATCCATTTGCAGTCCATGCATTCATTTAATAAATAGCATTTATTGACACTTTTTTATTAGTGGCATTAATAAGACTTAATACTGTTGTGTCTACTATGAGCCTAGCCACTGGGTAGTATATATCATATTAGGGTATAAATAGAAAAACAAGCCAAAGAGAAATACTTTACCCCCTTTTTTATTTATATTAAATGAAGCAAAGTTCATTCTATCATGAAATGTCCCTTGGAAACATTCAGTTACTAGCACTAGACCCACCTCATACACTATGTGACTACTCTATCTCATTTTGCTTATCTCTAATAGTATGACATTCTCCATTAATTTTTGTTGTTGTTGTTATCATTAATCTACAATTACATGAAGAACATTATGTTCACTAGACTCCCCCCATCACCAAGTCCTCCTCACATACCCCTTCATAGTCACTGTCCATCAGCGTAGTAAGATGCTGTAGAATCACTACTTGTCTTCTCTATTGTACAGCCCTCCCCATGCCCCCACCCACATTATACATGCTAATGGTAATGCCCCCTTTCTTTTTCCCCGCCCTTATCCCTTCCTTCCCACCCATCCTCCCCAGTCCCTTTCCTTTTGGTAACTGTTAGTCTATTCTTGGGTTCTGTGAGTCTGCTGCTGTTTTTTTCCTCCAGTTTGTCTTTGTTCTTATACTCCACATATGAGTGAAATCATTTGGTACTTGTCTTTCTCTGCCTGGCTTATTTCACTGAGCATAATACCATCTAGCTCCATCCATGTTGTTGCAAATGGTAGGATTTTTTTTCTTCTTATGGCTGAATAATATTCCATTGTATATATGTACCACATCTTCTTTATCCATTCATCTACTGATGGACACTTAGGTTGCTTCCATTTCTTGGCTATTGTAAATAGTG